AAACACCAAGTCTGCAAACCTCGCAAGACAGGGCATGGAATACTATGGATAGATGCAACTTTTAAACATGTTCCATACGTGTATTCAAGTGTTTTGCACCTTTTCCTTTCTGGCAGCGCTGCAGGGAGGCGAGGGCGGCGAGGCTGGGGGGAGCTGCAGCCCCATCACATGCGCTTTTCTCTACCCACCATTCGTTCTTTTCTTCCCCTCTCATAGTGTGGACGCAATGCTGAGAACTTCGACCGGTTTTTCACTCGCCATCCACCCGTCCTCACACCTCCCGACCAGGAAGTCATCAGGAACATTGACCAGTCAGAATTTGAAGGATTTTCCTTTGTTAACTCTGAGTTTTTTAAACCCGAAGCCAAGAGCTAAGTAGCTGCGTAGATCTCATTCCCGCATCCCTCTCATCCAACCCCAACTGCTGACGTGACATTTTCCATTGCAAAACTTGAACTCATGGTTTTTTCCTTTAGTGCTACTACTCGAGTGACCATATTTCAAGGCCTGAAGGGTGATTTGGGGGGTGATTGCAGGGTGAGTGATGCACGCTGCAGTTGTGCTTTTATGGCATTTTATTTGGAGAAGATGGAAATGGTTCCTTGGCTGGCAGAGGTGGAACGGAGAGGGGTAAGCTGTGACAATTAGGAGAAATCTCTTCAGTGTGTGCTTTCATTCCTGGTCTTCCCTTACTCTAATATAATCATAGAAACTTAATATTTAGTTGCATTAGTGGCCAGTGGGTGTTTTTAAGGGCCCCTTCCCAGTGTGAATGTGCAGTGCAGGCACTGCTACTGAGCCCACTGGCTCCTCCTGGCTCCTCCTGGCTCCAAAGCAGTTCCCCAGGAGAGCTGGAGCCAGTTCTGGCTTCTTTGGTAGCTTTGTCCTGCTGTTTGCAGCACCCGGTGCCGCCATCGGCTCATTCACACAGCCTGGGGCACATGGCTCTCTGTGCCAGGTCTTTGCAGCAGGGATAAAGGATTAGGGAAGCCAGATCAGCTGCTTGCAAAGATTTCTCCTGATTGTGCAGCTTCTCAGTAGCATGTTTTAGATCCAAAGCAGCACCTCCAGTTGTAAGCGGGATGTTTGAAAGAGCTGTCGCGATGCTTTGAATCCATGGTCACCCTGGTAAATCCCACACAACTTCAGTCCTCATAGTGAAACCTTTTCCCTTTTTCCAAATGCCAAAGCAATGGGTTGAGTTTGTTACCTGCACTTTAACTGTGTCAAAAAAGGTATTAGCACAAATGGGATGCTATTTAACTGTGAACAGTATTGTGGATTCTGATCTGAAGCTTGTAAAGGATTTGGGTTCAACTAATGCTCTTTTTAAAAATGCCACTAGTTATTTAAATCTAGTTTTTCAATCTAGACCCAGGTTTGGTTTCTGGCATCGAGGAAAACATTTCAGGAAGGGTGAATTTCTCCCGAAACAATAACAATCATGCAGCTTCCCTTTATACTCCCCTGCAGATGTTCGTGGGCTGTCACTGTATTGATCTGCTTCAAGTTGTAATGTGCCAATTTTACTTTTTTTTCCCCCAATACTGATTCTAAAATAAAAAGTGAGAAATAACATCAAAGGAACCTGCATGTGTTTGGCAATAATGAGTTTCTACAGTGCTGAGCTCAGAGATGCCAGGAATGCTGAAAGTCAGGGCTGTACTATGGATGCTCAGGGATGCACAGCCCCTCGGTCCTCTGCAGCATTCCCAAACCAAGGTGTGATGTACTGGAAGCATTTCTCAAGTGGAAACTAAATGCCTGCATGTCCTCTGCACCTGCTGATCCTGCTCCATCACGGTCAAGGAAAAGAGCTTCTCTCCATCATCCCTTGGAGGAAGGATGCTTCGGGGTGTGAGGACATGCTCCCGTGGGGTGCTGCAGAGCTCTGCCCCTTGGAGATCTCTCTAAATGCCTTGATCGGAGACCACTGCGGGATGTGCTTCACTCGCTGCAGCGCGTGTCGGTGACTCACGGCCCCGCTGCGCTCTCCCAGGAGCTGCTGTTAAAAGCAATTGGCAGTTTGAGCTAACGAGGAATTGCAGGTTCCTGTTAACTTCCCTTCGGAGCGTATCAGGATTTCCCTCCTGGCTTTGGAGATCCACTTCTGCTGAACTGCTGCGGCTCTGAGCTCTGCAGGATCATTCTGAAAGGCACCGAGCAGCAGCACCAACACAGCAAGGACTGCTCCCCGGCTTCCTTCATCCATACAGCCCCGGAGCTCTGCCATGGGGAAGAGGCTTGGATGCAGCAGTGGTGGTTGGGGAGGATCCTCACCCCCTGGGATGCAGGATGCAGGCGTGCTGCCCTGGGCATGGGGAGCTGGGTGCCTCTGCCACACCATCCATCCCCAGCTCCTCATCACCTCCCAGAGTCAATTAGCCCCTTGCTGGAAGCACTTTCAGCCCTGAATTTCCCCTGCCTTCCCCTCTCTGTTTATCAGATCCACGCAGTCATTCCCTACCAGCTCCCAGGATATTCATCATCTTTGACAGAGGCCAAATTGCCACCATTTTCAGGCAAAATTCAAGGTAAGAAGTCAGCAAATCCCACTGTGGAGGCTCACATGGGCCCTCTGGTGCTGCACTGTCCTGTGAGCCCTGCAGCAGTGTGCGGGGAGATGGGCAGCCTTGAGCCCCGTTCCTAACATCCCAACCCTTTCCAAAGCAGCAGCAGGTTTTGAACACCCGAGGGCTCCAGGCTGAGCACTCACCCTGCCTGGTGCCATCAGCAGAGACCACTCCAGAGGGCTGGGGCCACAGTGGCAAATGTGGACATTTCATTCCCCTTTGCAGCATCCCACAGCATTCCTGGAGCTCCTGGCTCAGATGTTGTTTCAAGTGGCTGTGACCTTCAGGAACTGCTTGGCCAGCTCAGCATCCCTCCAGGAGCAGGACAGGAGCCTGGTGCCACCGTCAGCTCCTTCCATCTACACAAGTGGGGCTGCAAGAGATTCCATGTGCAACAGCTTTAAAACAGGCGCTTGGCAGCAAAGGGCAGTGCCTCTGCTCTCCCACTGCTCCACAACCCACTGGCCCTTTTTGTCCTGAGGGATGCTGCTTTCCATCGAGGTGGGCTTTCATTTGCACTTCAACTGCTTCAGCCTTTGCCTGGCAGAACTCTGCACCTGAACTTGACTCCTTCACTTTCCTGCTCCTGCCCTTTCCTGCTCCTGCTGTATGCCCCAAATCCACATCGTCTTCCTTCTCTGTGTTGGGAAAGGAGCCCTGCAGGGACTCTGATGGTTCCCAAGTGTCACTTGCTGAAAGCAAAGGCAACAACCTGGCTCCAGGACTGGAACAAGCTGGGACTTGGTGGCACAGCCATGTCCTGGCTCTTCTGGCTCTTCTCTCTCTTCTTCTTGAGCTCCAGCCCTGTTTTCCTTCCCACCTTGTTTCCTCTCAGCCATCCTTGGCTCTCTGTATTCTGGTCTTCCTCCTGCAAGGGTGAAGCTGTCCTGATGGGATGCTTCCTGCAGCAACTGGAGTCTCCATGTGGCCATGGAGGTCCTGGTCCACCGCTAGCATCTTGACACATCACCCGCATCTTGACACACCACCCGCTGGGTGCCCGGTCAGTGCAGAGCTGTGGGAGGGCGGCCGTGGTGGAGGGAGCAGGACTAGGGCACAGAGGGGTCCCATGTGGTCCCTCCCATGGCCCACACGTGTGTCTGGTGATGAGCAGCCGATGTGAGTGTGATGGGGACCCGCAGCCACCCTGCAGGGCTCTGTGATAAGATAACCCAGAGCTGCTCTGCTCTGGTCGCAGCAGATCACAGGCGAGCACCTGGCGCTGTGGGGCCTCCATTCAAAGGCAAAGTCTAGAAAAGAGAAAACCAAAAAGGCCATTTTTCAGGTTTCTGCCAGACACCGCTGTTGTGACAGTGCTCTGCCAGCGTCACACCAGGGAACGGCACCTCCTGTGCTCCCGTCTCCTTTCAGCTCCAAATAGAGACACAGACAAGAGATGGGGAAGGTCTTTCCTCCATGCTTGTTTTGGTAATGGGATGAAGCAGAGCATGTTCCCAGCCTGCAGGGAGCGGGGTGTCCCCTCCGCTGCCTTTCACTACCG